ACAACAGATCCACTTGACCTTACTATAATTTATTCAAACACAGAATGCCCAATGGAATGACGTCAGAACTAATGTTAGAAATCCAAACAAAAAATTACAGAAACTCTATTAAATGTATTTTAAATCTAACCTTAAGTATCAGTATAGCTACATTCAATCGAGTAAAATACGAATCCTTGGCTCAATATTTTAGTAGCTTAGAGACTAAAATTGCACACTTGATTGGTTCTTAAGCAATCTTATCAATGTAAATTAATCATTACTTTCTATAGAGCTATAAGAAATTCTCACCATACGGGAATCAATCTAAATTAAGACAGCTCACATCATCCTGTTAATATCAAAAAGCTGACAAAAGATGGTCGTTGTTATCTGCGATAGCTGCATCATTCTAAGTGGCTCAGATATCCATTGGACTATAAAATATGTTTAAAATGATGATGCATTATCATATATCTATATATGTATTGTAATTTGTAATCTTACACAATATTATAAATGCGAAAGTTTAAAAGGATGGATGAATGTTAGAGTTATAGTCTAAACGGCTGAACAGATTTCGAGGAAATTTGGTATAGATGTAATATAATCTGGAAGAAAACATAGGCTACTCACTTTTTTTTCATTCTACGCGGACGGAGTCGCGGGCGAAAGCTAGTATGTAATAAAATTGTAATGTCTAATTGTAATATCAAAAGAAAAATTCCAGATTTCGGGAAGATGTAGTATTTGCGTTGCTGATATGAAAATCGCAATTATAAATTTTTTATCTGTCTGTCTGCAAGCCACGTTTGTTCCGGGTAATCTCCGAAACGGCTGGACCGATTTCGACGGGACTTTCATCGCAGGGTAACTGACATGGATAGGCAAATAATAGGCTACTTTTTTAAAATTTCGCGCTGTCAAAATGGCGTAACGGGTGGTCCCTTTGCGCTAACGTAGTTTGCGGCAGGTCGTCATAAAAAAGCAGGCGCAGCTTTGACTAAACATTGTGCGTGCATGTCGTTTGTTTCGCAGCCAATTCAACTGTTTAGTTCCACAACAAAAAAGTATTGAGCGCACCTCCATAAGCTCGTATCAAAGCGAGACAAACAGTTGTGCGATAGTTTAGTCAAAGATGTGCGCTCGCTTTAAACTAATAAGAAATATTACATTTATCCCAGTTTTATTTCGGTATCGTGCGGTAAACACCGGATTACGGCGAACGGATACGTAAATTATGGTTAATAAAGTGTTTGAAGCGTGAGGTACAGGATATCGCTGTTTCTAATAACTACTTAGAAGTATTCAAACAACTGTGTTTCCCCAAAAATAATAGACACTGTATAGTTATCGATTATTTAATTGTTATTGAATCGGTATTTTAATGAATTTCAAAATAAAACGTATGTTCAAGACGGCAAAGGTGTTTCTAGACGATTAGAAAAACAAAGAACTGTCAAACTTTATTGTGCCAAAATCAGATTTAAAAAAATAATACTTAGTCTCTGGCATCTTATGGTCCTGTAAGGGTTAACCATGATCTATATCACTGGCGATCAAATATATTTTTTTGCAATAATACAATATTGAATTAAAAAACCTTTCACTTTCTAATAATCAATCTAAATTAATACCGGTTCCTATTATTTAGCCCAGACAGTTATCCTGTTATCTATAAGCGCAAGCAATAACGAATCTTTTGCTGTTGTTATAAGGTTTAAAATATGTTAGATACATTATTATAACTTGCTATTCAGAAAACTGGTATAGTCAACACGTTGCTAGGACATCGATAGCATTACGAAATAGTTTGAGCCCTACAATCGATGTCTGAGTACCTTTACCGCAATACGAAAGATAATTTATTATAGTTTGTCAAGTAACTTATAGAAAAACATATTATATTTGTTTTGAAGAATGAGAGGAGTGTTTCCCGTTGGACCGATCGAATTTATAAAATCAATCGACCTAATGGAATTTTTTTTTCCACCAACCATTTAACTATCAAGTAGTCCCGATGAGTGTTGACGATTGTTTTTAAAGTGCGTGTGTTCCGTCGGTATTCTATATTAGGTGTTTACTTTAAAATAATTGAAATCTAACATAACAAGATAACAATGTAGGCTATTAAGATAATCTAGTTTTCTAATAGATTCAATTCAATAACTTCAGAATTAGCTTACTAGAAGAAAAAAAACTTTACAAATTCTTAGCAATGGCCTCGGAAGCAACCTTGTGTTTTTTTTCGTAGGTCAACCATTGATTTGTGTAATTTATTATGACAATATGTTACTATGCATATTTAAAAATAACTTGGATTAACAAAAACATTGTTAAAATGGTAAATGGTTAACATTTTGTGCCTACCCACATTTGTTGTAAACGTAAATATATTATACTAGCTGTTCCCGTACGGCTTCATCCGCATGAAATTATAATAACTTTATTGCTTATATTTGTCAAATGTCAAAATTTAAATGCACAAATGACAACCTTGCTTCCTTGATTTTGGCAGCTTGTAGTTTATGGTTCTTTTCCGACTTGAAGTTTTTTTCCCAATTATTACCCCCTAGTAGTAGTGTGTGTTTATGCTTTATTATATTAGTATAAATTTCTGTATTTTTGGCTAATATGCATAAATGCACGGCTTCTTGCGGGCAAATACCAGTGTTAAGGGCATTGTCGCCTCTGTACCAAGTTACAATATTTTAATATTTCTTCGCTCAGAAAACTTCAAATATTATCGTAAATTTATTAACACACCGCGTTTCTTGGTAAGAGAAAAGGTAACCGACTTATTAAACAAACAAAAAAGTTGATTTAAATATAAATGTTTTTTTTTCGTTCACATTCTACATAAATAATACGAGTACTGTACATTTTGTACCGTTAATAATTGAATAAATTATAATAGCGAGTGGACAACTTTGACTAAATTATCGCACAACCGTTGTGTGTTGTGCCATTATTTCGCAGCCCATTTAACTGTTTAGTTATACAACTAAAAATCGAGTAGTGAGCTCATAGAAATCGAAACTTGACTTACCAGTTGTGCGATAGTTTAGTCAAAAGGTCTGCGCGCTACGATAGTTCAGTGGATAATTCGAATGTTGGTCTAAGGTTTGATTCTAAGAGGTATATTTTTTTACTCCATTGACAAAGAGAGTATTGTTTTTAGCGTAAATGTAAGTTTGTTTTCACGTATTTAGGTTTGTATGTGTCAATTCTATTGCGACAGCCTAGACGCTAAACGACTGATCAGATTTTGACGAATGTTGTCATTCCATACGTATTCTTCCCCATAGGATATACTGGGTGAGATAAAAGTCGTTTGAAACACACACTGGTGAAGGACTAATAGATTTTCTAGACCAACATCAGTTTATTTCCTATTTTTTTACCATTTTGATTGTTTAAAAAAATCACTCCGTTATTTTTAACTAGGGCTTTAGTTATGGTTGTTGACTAACAAGCGAGGTTTTCGAAGCGTATCGAAGTCTACTTCAGGGTCATTGATATATTTTATCTAACTTCAAAAGGTTAAAGATAAGAAAACAAAATTGCAAATCGTTATCAAGGTTCCGGGACGGATAGTTTTTGACAGATAAAAATGATCAAATTGATTTGTTAACCGCTGACTACAGACAAATTTCCCTTTCTGTTGCTTTCCCTCCTCCGACAAATCCAATTTCCCTTTCGACCTTTTCCTTAAAAGAAAAGGGTTTACAAAAACTAGCTTTCGCCAGCGACCCCGTCCGCATGGAATTAAAAAATACAAAAGTGAGTAGCCTATGTGTTCTTCCAGACTATCTTACATCTATACCAAATTTCATCGAAATCGGTATAGCCGTTTAGGCTACAAACTCTAACAAACATCCAACCATCCATCTAAACTTTCACATTTATAATATTAGTGTGAAGTATGATTGCTTCCACTTGACGCTTGTCTTCTGTGTGGTTGTATCACACCAGACGTGTCCACCAATTCGTGCCAGATGTTGATGGCGTCTACCACTGTGTGTATTTATATCTTTTATTTAAATGTTTTGCTATACGCGAAGTCGGAAGTTGTTAACAAAAATAATCAATACAGATTAATAATTAAAACAGACGCTAGCCTTGGATTTTTACATCAATAATAATCGTAATCAAGTAGTCTATCGTAGTTGTTGCCTTGAAGTAAAATATTCGTAATTTGATTTGTGTAAAACCTAACCGTAACTTCCCACCGTTTAAACAACCAAATGAAACAAACTTTATTATCACAAAAAAA